CCTAAACTACTTAACCAATTTCTGTGAAATTTTGTACAGACATAGTTTGGAACTCGAGAAAGGAAATAGGATGGTTTTATATCAAGAATCAGCAGGAAGTCACTATTCCACGCGAACGGAGTCGCGGGCAAAAGCTAGTTAAAAATAATATAAATGTAAAAATTTATCCTTCAACAACTGATCTCAAGTGTGCTATCAAGCCATCTTCTAGCTTCATCACCTAGGGTAAGGAGTTAAAATCTGTCGAGTATTAAACTCGAAGTTCATTACAAAAAGCTACATAAATTCCTACAGATATTTATTGCCTTTGCAGATATTTTCTTAGTTTTTTCTTTTTATATATGTGATAGGTCGGCAAACAATCCGACGGATTACAAGGCCAGCAAGACACCAACAACGCCAGAGTAATTACGAGTGCGTTGCCGGTCTTTTGGAGATTAGTGTTTAGTTGATAAAAGCTTTGGGAAGGGATGGGGGGAAGAGAAGTAGTGGGTCGACGAAACACAACGCTATGATTGTTTCACGCCATTTTTCTGTGAGGCTGTGGTGTCACTCCGGTCGAGCCGACCCATTTTTAATTAGATTATCTGTAATTCTAATAAAAACAATCCAGTTCCTGAAAATGTTGCAATGTTTTAAAGTTTGTCGTCTTAAATACAAACTCTTTGTCTCTAGCACCAGTCAAACCCACGTGCAAGAGAATGACAAAAATAAATTACCCATTAAGTCTATCTAAAGTGGTATTTTTCGAAGGAGCTGGCAATAATGTATACGTCTACAACTCCCACACTGCACTGCTAATGTAAAGTGGTATGTAACAAAATACGACTCTATTCTTAACTACCAGCCTCTGTATGTTTCGACTAAGAATGGTAAAAGTAACTAATTTAGGAATAAACATCGCCCCCTTACGTCTGACTGATGTCATAAGCCAAAAATGGCCGTACTGTAAATACACCCCTACATATTGTTTAACTGTTTATATATGTATGCCTCTTGTTTATTCAGTTTAAGAGATAATATTGAAAAATCTACCTTAATCTTGGACTCTTCGAATGATATTACAGAAACTATTATGATTTTGTTTGTAGTTATGAGTTCGACCTTTTTCGTTAACCTTAACAAAAAAAAAATATGAAAATACCCTAACATCACACCTTTTGAGAGAATAAAATACTTCAATCGACCGGAAAATAGTATATAAGTCCAGATTTAGGAACTGTTGAATTAACAAAGCGTGGATGAGCCAACCTTCGCCACGATTGGGATGGATCAACCAGAGAGATACTACGACTTCGTAAAAACCCAACGCGAAACAACCAGAACGTTCTGTTTCTTTTTTTTAACGAGCAGACGGATCACCTTATGTTAAGCGATCGGCGCCGCTTATGGACACCCGCAGCGCTAGACGAGTCACAGGTGCGTTGCCGTCTTTTTAAGAAGGAGTACGCTCGTTTCTTGAAGTTTTGAAGGTCGTATCGGTTCGGGAATACCGCCGCGGGAATCATCCAAAATTTTGCTGTGCGGGGCAGAAAGATTCACGTGAAACGCACAGTCGTTGACTACCTCTATGTGATGGGGATGAAAATGCCGTGTAAGTAGAGTTATCGGAGAACCAATCCTTCCCATCTCCCTTACTCTCCCCAATCGCAAAATCACCCAAATCCTAATCCTGTGTTGCTCCATAGGTGACACCGATTATACTTAGAAAATTACATTAAAAATTGCATTTGCGACCAATCGGTTAAGTAGGCATGCCACACCACTATAGTTGCTTTTACCAGCAATCCCAAAAATGATTTTAGGAACCAGGCTCCAGTATGGTCATCCCTGAACTAAGAGTTGCCTGGCTTTTAGAAGCACTGAACTGTTGTTGTGTGTACATCTAAGTTTAGTCAAATTAAGCGTTTGGATGTCATTATAGATTCGTGAAACCAAAATGTCATAACTATCACCTATCGTAACTTAGAGCTTCCTCGGTCATAAAGAGAGGGTAATGAAAATAGCCATAAAATCTACACAGATAATTTTCGTCAAGTATTGTAGCTTCCCAGTTGATCAATAATATATTTTATTCTAATATCGCCAACCAGCTGCTTAGGAACTAGCTCTTCAATAAATATGAGCTACTAACTTTCCCATTACTTTACTGCATAAAATAATGTGCAGCTCCATTAAACACAAGCTACCACTTAAAATAAACTACTCACTTAACCATAAGCTCCTCGCTAAATTACGAGCTCCTCAACATAAGCTCCTTAGGTACCAACAGCTCACAACAAATGAAGTAGATTACAATCACTTACAAAATTACTAACACTAAACTACAGTAACCAGCAGCAAGATTCGGTAAACGTCTTAATCCAATTACTTCCGAACGAAATTGATTGCTTAAGTTAGATTTTTGTTTAATTTAAAGTTTTTACGAGTTCTTTTTGTAGTACAAATTGATGTAAATCAGAAAGGATTGAAGAAAGAAGAATTACAAAAACTTTTCTTAAGCCTATCATTGCTTAAACGAGCGGAAAGTGCCTGTAGAATATTTTATATTTAACAAATTATATATTTCATCTTTTATGTAAATTAAATAAATAAAAAAAATATTTCAATAAAAGACATGACAAAAATGGTACTGAAGTGGAGTATACTTTTCCACTAATGTGTGGGAGAGCCAAGCTTCGGCACGAATGGGTCGGCTCAACCGGAGTGATACCACGGCCTCACAGAATACCGGCGTGAAACAACCACTACGTTGTGTTTCGCCGTGTGAGTGAGGTTACCGGAGGCCCAATCCCTTCCCTACCCTCATCCCTTCCCAATCCTTAAATATTCAAAACCCCTATCCCCAAAAGGCCGGCAACGCACTCGTAACTCCTTTGGTGTTGCGGGTCCATGGGCGGCGCCGATTGCTTACCATCAAGTAATCCGTCTGCTCATTTGCCGACTTACACCAAAAAGAAAAATTTCTGCTCTTCCCAGGGCAGTCTTGTTAGAGCCTTTACAAGAAACTAGATATTGACAGCGACTAGACTGCAGCAATGTTCTCTGGTAACCCAAAATGTTATTAACTGCTTTTTTAAACCAGCCTGCCTAGCGTGGAAGTCTGGCACAGGCCCTACCCAGGGCGGGAAAAGTAATTTGATGGTTATCCCCCCTAACAAAAAAATATAATATTTTATTTTTAGTAACTGATTTCCGTTACCAAGTCTTAAACTTCAAAGTCGACGAAGAAACTGACATTCCCTACCATATAATCACGAATTATTACAAAACACAATGAAATTTCCGTTTTCGACATATTTTCACGAAGTTACCGGAAATGAAGAATCCTGTGAAACGTCTATGGTAAAATGTAATCGTTGACTTTGACTTTGACTTTGACTTTGACCTTGTCATTGGATTGTCATAAAAACTTTTGTTGAAATTGTTTCCAGTTTTAGGCTGGCTACACATTAAAAAAATATTGCGTGCTAGCTTTCTTCTGTACTGTTTCACATCCGTCGAATATTTTTATTTTATTTATTTATTATCCAAAACTTAGACTAATTTTACAGGTTTTATACCCAATGCAATAGCCTAGTTTATATGCCTAAACAATAATATCTACATATCCTTACTTGACTACAGTTTTATAACATATAACAAACAAAGCTAACCTTGTGAATATAATATATTCTTTACCCCTCCCTGAGCCCCCTTACTGCGACAAAACCGCAATAAATTCAAACAATTTTTTTTAATTTACTTACGGGTCAAGCTCGGACCCCTTCTTTCCTCACTTCTTCTTTCCATCAAAAGAAAACCCATTGCCCACATTAGGATTTCCTTCTGTGTTACACAAAAAGTTTCTCCGTACGAAAATCGAACCCGCGACACGTTACAGCAGCCAGTTGCCCAGGCACCGCACAAACCGTACAGTCAAGTCTTTATTTGAAGTCGAATAAAATGGATAGCTTAGTTGCTGGTCTTTTGGACATTCTAGTCCTTATAATGAATATTAGAAATTCTAGTCCTTATAAAAGATGAGTTTGAATTAGCTATTCATATTATAACAAATTAATTACACCGTACCTAATTACTGCTTGCTATTTTGTAGACAGCCTCAGTCGTCTCATACCTGTTGTTTCTGTGGGTAGGAACTGTCAGTTGAGTTGACGTCAAAATCATAACATCTTGATGAACACTTGACATTTGAACGAAACTTCCAGCTTTGTGTGAGTTGTTACGTCACCACGTCAGTTAATGTCAAAGATAAAGATAAAGTCAAACTATTTTAATTTTTTTTCTTTTTTTTTGATGACTTGATTATGCTCTTCAATAGAAGAACTCGCAATTACAAGAATTATTTATAATTAAAACAAAAAAAACACGTTAATTTTCGCCTACAATGGGTGCGTTTAAAAATCACATCTTTTCTTGATCGGGAAAGACTATTTATGGATAACACAGAGAGTTGCTCTGTGTGTGAACCGAACTTGGGACACGTTGCACGCCAGCTCATTGCCCAGCGTCAACTATAGTCATGTAGATTTAAAAAATATTTATTTATAAAATATAATTGATTGAAGAAAGATAGTTAACAGTGTGTAGCTTATCGATATAATTATATACAGATATTAAGATGTATATATTTTATAATGGATGGCAAAAAATATATATAATTCTGATACAGTGCATTTTTCCCCAAACTATTCGAGTTGATTCGGGTTCCTTTTTTATGTGATAGAAACGATTTATCTGGTGGTGAGCAATCGACATGGCTCATGGTCACCACATGTTGCTCCTAAAATTCTGCGGGTGGAAATAGAAGCCCCTCATGGTCGGTCTCCGCCAACTTGGACCAGTTACAAATACAAGCCTGGCTTAGTTTAAGAGTTAGATAATTCCAAAAATTATGAAATAGTGTACAACCTCAAAGACTATATACTTTGTACTTTTGAGCAGAAATAAAAATTATTATTAATAATTTATTTTTTACTTTAGATTTAGTTTAAAGACCCACAGGAAGCTACTGACACCATGAAAGAATTGTACGTAAAATAATATTTCGCTTAAATAAACTTTCGCATTTTATGTGTCTACAAAGTTACTGTATATAGTATATGTAATGCTTAGATTCTCAAGCACATTTTATAGCTTTAATTACTTAAAGTTGTTCCAAACTTAATTGAATTTATTTTAAAATTAAATTGATTCATTTCGGACGAAGTGTCCTAAACATTTTTGTTTGAAACGTCAACATGGTTGCAACATATCATGGCGTCATTTCTAATGGGAGAGACTTTTAATGGGTAATGTAATAACAAAGTTTTAACGAAAACAACAACAAAAATAACATTTATTTACAATTTCAACAACCTGACGCCATCACTTGGCTGACTCAGAAAGAAAGTGGGCGTGCCTTTGTATTCTGATAGGATTTTCTTCTTTAAATTCTCCACTTCACTCTTCTTAACCTGTAACAGATGAAGGTTAAACAATTTCGATTTATTTCAACTTAAAGTTGTTTAAACTTTACTAAGTGACAATGAATTATTGTTCCGTAGAGGTATAACTTAAAGAAACAATCTCAGTCTGCCGGCATAACAAAACTAATGTATAAGATGTTTAAAACTTAACGTGTTTTTTATCTAAAACATTTTTTTATTTCTCTCATTCGGATTTTCTCCTATGCTGTGGGTGCGTTTACAAACATACAAGTTCACATACACAATCACACCCAAACCCGGAACAACAATTTGTAGATCACATAAAGAGTTGTTCCGAGTGGGAATCGAAACCGCGACACATTGCGCGGTAGCCAGTTGCCCAGACACCGCGCCAACCGTGCAGTAATTTCAGCCAAGATTGCCTTAAAAGTACCGCTAACGTTATCACAGTAATAAAAATAATAATAATATGAGCGTGCAAGAATCGCATATATATTTTTAACTCTACCCTGATCATGGGGATCTCCTGTGCCCATGATCGATCCACCGGCTCATGACTATTCACCCCTTTCGTGGCTTGAAGCGAACCTCAACCAATAAAAAGTAAGTAGGCCGTACTATTTCAACTTACCAAGGTAACAACACATCCCCCAAAACCACCTCCTGTCATCCTCGCTCCGTAGACTCCTGGAGCCCCTCTAATAATGTCCACGATCTGGTCTAACTCTGGGCAGGATACTTCCATTAGCTTACTGAGGGAATCATGGGACTGGTAGAATAGTTCGCCAACCTAGTCATCACAGTTAAAGAAACTTTATTACTTCTGATGCTTGGAAAAGTAATTTGTTTTGCATTCGTTTTTGAATAGAACAACGATACTTAGTGGAGAGATCCATCAAACATCATATTTGGAAAAAAAACGAAAGCCAACTATGATTGTTTAAAAAGATAAAATTTCGTCGTTCAACCATGACCGTATAATATATCGAAAGAGAAATTCAAATCTTCTTCTACTTTTTGACATTATTTCAAGGTCTTTTATGATTCGTCTCATCATTCTTCTAAAGGAATGGTGGAAAAAATCTATTAAAGGAATGGTGGCAAACCCAAAATGTAATTTGGTTAAACTTTATTTATTTACCCTTTTAAAATCTTTATTCTTCATAACCCTGGCTACTTCTTCAGTCCGGCTGATCTCCTCTATGACGTGCTTCGCCCTCTTCAGAACCTCCTCATCGCATTTCTGCTGCTTCAGTTCTAGAAACAAAGCCCAAAAATTTTATTTGTAGCTTATTTTGAACTTTATCCCGTTTCAAATAGGTAATACTGTTGTATTTTTTATATTCACTAGGACCTTCAAACGTAATAGGTTAGTCGGGGCCTGAAATGCAAATTGCCGTTACCCTATGGTCACATACTCGTACGGGAGACATAAATTTGCCAATAAAGCAAAATTCTAGCTCTGGCCAAGTAATCTTACCTAGATTACCTAGATTCAAATTATAGTAGATATACACGATTTCAGCACTAATTGGAGGTTGGACAGCAAAATTATTGAAAATAACGACTAACTTGAATAATAACTGAAAAAAGCCCTACTAGTTTCAAGTCACACCGGGACTCTTATTCATGTCGGCTAGGTAACATTTTCGCGGAATGCACGCTGCTCTAGTAAAACTGAAAGTACTACAGCTTTCCTCAATTAATTCACGATTGTTAACAATTTGATGATTAAACATTTGGAAATTGGAATTGGATGGCGCCTTTCATAGTTTCACTCTTACAGCGAATAATGAAAGTAACAGTTTTTAACATAAGGAAAACTTGAAATAATAATATTTTTAATGGATAAAATACCCAATTTTCGATGAAGAGACTTACGTGTATTTGTTTAGTAAAAGCTAGGTTTAGCTTACTAGGTAAACCTAGATTTTTGAAAGATTAGGGTCGTTTGGTGACTATATACTGGGGTTACCCAAAACATATGAGTTTTTGGGTTATTGAAATTTTCAATAAGGGATTCAGAGTTGGGAATCGGGGCTAATAATATGGTAAAAGTTTTTTAATGTGATGAGGAAAAGGTTTAATGGTGCAACGCACTCTTTAAAGGGTTTTAGGGAAAAAAGGTCTCGATCAGGTTCAATTTCAATTTTCTAAAACATTTTTTTTTATATTTTCTGATATTCATTCTATTGTTTTTGATTTATTTTTTTCCTTTATTTATGAGAATATTATAAAAAAATTATAGATTCAACAAATAGATATTTTTATGGGATAGGTCGGCAAATTAGCACGCATTACCCGATGCTAAGTAATGGGTGCCGCCTTTAGCGTACAAGTGCGTTGCTTGCTTTTTGTCGATATTCAAGGATTAAGGACTACGTATTTGGTACCATGTAAGGCCAATTGACATTGTAAGACAATAGTTGGATGAAAAGAGCTGAACACCGAGCTCAGTGGCGTGCAATTTGTTAGGCCCATGTCCACCAGTGGATGGATGCAATGGTTGGATAAGTAAGCCCAATTTAAATGTTAAGCACATGATAAATAAAGTAATTTCTATTTTTGTGATACTTTCTCTAGATAATAAACTAACAAAAAAATGTGTACCCTTAAAAATAACTAGACAATAAAGTGAAACTTAAAAGCATCATTACTTTAAGTACTAGGTAGTTTTTCAGTTTAACCTCAAGCCTTTTATTACTATTACCTACATATTTTTTTATCAAAACCATTACAATATATAGATGGTCTAAAATAATTAAAAAGACCAATTTGGCTCAAATTATACCTCATAAAAACCTTTTTCCTACAAATCGACAATCCGAGAACGAAGTACCTACATTATGAAAATATCATTAGATATTCAAATTTTCTAAAGAGTTCCACAATCAAAATTTTTTTTGTGAAATTACTGTGACGTAGTAAGTAATCATTAGTCTATAAGAATATAACATTGTATCTTTTAGGCAGAGAGGCATTAATAAACGTAACGTGTAACCAACAACATCTTGTTTGATTCACCTAAGTCCCGTCCTTACATGGCGACCCTGCCATTTAAGGTTCGGTGTCGGATTCCGGGCTCAGTAAATCGCGCGTAGTGACATGAGGGAAAAAACTATTGTATTGCGTTATTGTTCGGACAAAGCTATAAGTTTGGTGCGTAATTTTGATTCTGACAATGGGAAAACCACAAAGTAAAGAAGTTGTGATTGCGCAAAACGCCGCAGGTGGCGTAAATGCTGCTGATGTTGCCCAACTACATCAAAATCAGTCAGTGACCAATTTTATACTGGGTGCGATGTTGGTCATCCTGACTATTGGAGTTTGGTTTGGAGTATACAAGCTGTATAAACGCTGTCACGTAGACTGGATGCGAGCGGAGATAGCCAGGAGTGCTTTTAGGCGTTCTGGCCCAAGGCGTGACCCAAGGAGCAAAGAGTCCAATATCGAGAGCGTTTAGCCTTGAGTAAAACTCGGCTAGACAAAGGCAGACATCGGATAAGAGAGTCTTCATATGTTACGGTAAAAGTGAAAATGTGTGTGTGAAGTGTTTCAAGTGTACGGCATGGACAGAGGTATTTTAGTTAAGATTTAGAATAGGTTTCTTTATGTTGCCCCACTTCATTTATTTTTCATGAGTTAAGGGTTAAATGTCTGATTTAATAGATATTCATACATTAATTAAAAATATTAAAGTCAATTTACTAAAATTAAGTAAAGTTAAAAGAACAAAGAAAGTGTTAGAGCAAAAATATTTAGAAGCGAATGGTTTATATGATAAATATATTACATGTCGTAGTGAATTAGATATAAAGGTGTCTAAAGGTTATGTTAAGCAGGAGGAATTAAAATATATTTTGATTATTTGTGAGGAAATAGAGTCATATTATCAAAGAATTCAGAATTTTTGTTTAGAGAACGAACAAAGCCTAAGTACCGTGAACACCATGACTGAGTTTGACATGAAAACTGCATCTTCTCTTCTACCTGTGATGACAGGAGAGGAGGAATGTACTAAAAAATTAATAGATGCTCTTGAATTTTATAGCCAAAACATTAAGAAAGAGCATGAATCTTTATTAATATCCTTTGTTCTTAAAACTCGCATATCCCGACATGCCAAATTACGTTTGGCATCTAACTATGATTCTTCCGCAGATCTTATAAAGGACATGAAAAATAATTTGCTGACGAAGCAGTCTGCCACGGCGCTTCAGTTGGAGCTATTGCAGTCTCGACAAGGGTCCCAAAGCATTGAAGAATTTGGTAAGAAACTTGAGGACTTATTTGTTGAATTGACTATATCTCAAGCGGACGGTAAAGAAGACGCGTATAAAATGTTTAGACCTGTAAATGAAAAACTAGCTATTCAGCGGTTTACAGAAGGCTTGAGAAATGGTCGATTGAGTACCATTTTAACGGCTAGAGATTACTCAGAACTGAAAGATGTTATACGTGCGGCTAAAGATGAGGAACGGGCGCACCAAGGTCACAGCACATCGGCGGAGACAGTCTTTGCGGCTCAGCATCGAGGTAAGTATAATCAATTTTATAGAGGACAAAGCCGAGGACGTGTTTATATTCCGAATCGTAATTATTATAGGTCGACACCGCAACCGCCTCCGAGGAATCAGGTACCTGTTAGGACTTATTACCGAGGGCGCGCAAGAAGTTTTGTTAACAATCCGCGAGGACGTGGACGTAATTACAGTCAGGCTACGAATTCGGGAAACTATAATCGCAATAACAGGCATAATACTTATTTGCTAGATCAGTCGAGAAATGATATTCAAGGCGCGTCGACAAGCAATCAAAATTTAGATTTAGAGTTTTTTCGATCCTAACTTTATTTTAACATGTAACTATAATAACTTTGTAGAATTGTCAATATTCGATTCTAAATATAGAATGTTAGTTGACACGGGAGCCTCTTTGTCAGTGGTGAAATATGAAACGATTAGAGACTGGAATATTCCTCTGCAACCAGAATGCATTACCATTAATGGTATTGGTGGCAAATCGACCACCGACGGTTATGTTTACATACCATTCTCCATATGTGGAAAAGAATTCAAACATAAGTTTTATGTTCTAAAGAATCTACCTTGTATTCAAGACGGTATAATTGGGCAAGAATTTTTAAAGAAGTACAATTGTGTTTTAAATTATGAACATAACACGTTGACAATAAATGAATGCGATAGTTCAGTTACAACCAGTTTAGAATTAGGGAAATTAGGTAAAAACTTATTTATTACAGTACCACCAAGGTGTGAAAAATTTTTCCAAGTTCATTGTTTTGAGAGTGAGGCTTGCGTTGTATTTCCGAGAGAATTATGCGACGGTGTATTTATTGCTGGAAGTATCTGTCAACCCAAGGAGGGAAAGATATTAATACAAATTTTAAATACACGTGAAACAGAAGTTCAACTTAGTTATTTTAAACCTGACATTGATCGTTTATCTTATTATAATATGTGTGCATTCGAAAAGGAAAATTTTATTATCGTTGATAAAATTACAACACTTGAACAAAGAAGAATCCATAAGTATACAAAACATATGTGCAAAATTTGCTGACGTATTTTACTTACCGGGAGATAAATTAGGCACTTGTAACCTTTACGAACAAGAAATTCAGTTGAAACCCAATTCGGATCCGGTTTATACTAAACAATATCGGTTGCCATTTTCACAGCGTAATGAAATTGAAAATCAGATTCAAAAAATGCTTTCCAATGGTATTATAGAACCCGCAAGTAGTGAGTGGTCTAGTCCAGTGCTACTGGTACCTAAGAAACTAGAGGATAACAAGAAAAGTTGGCGTTTAGTTGTTGATTTTCGGAAATTAAATGACCGCATTATGGATGATAAATTTCCCCTCCCCAACATAACCGATATATTAGATTCACTCTCTGGCGCAATATATTTTTCACAGTTAGATTTAACTCAAGCGTACTATCAGGCAAAATTAAATTCAGACAGTAGAAAGTACACGGCGTTCACAACACCCTCCGGCCAGTATCAGATGACCCGTATGCCGATGGGGTTAAAGACAAGTCCCAGTTCTTTCTCACGTTTAATGACAGTCGCGATGTCAGGACTAAATTATGACAAGTGTTTTATTTATTTAGATAATTTAATTTGTTTTGGAAGAAATTTAGATATACATAATAAGAATTTATTAGACATTTTGGCTAGGCTAAGGAAAGTAAATTTGAAGTTAAATCCGGACAAGTGCGATTTTCTTAGAA